CAGACAGGCTTGGATCTGAACTCTTTTAGGGGAAGAGGAAAGAAAAAATCAGACAGGTGTACAATGTTTTCCACAACTGGTCCCTGCTGTCTGCATCAACTCTCTAATTGCAAAAGCAACATCCAGCTGTGGGATTTTGCATATTCTTGAGCCTTTAGACTTACCCCTGCTTTGTGCCTCCAGGATACACAGCTACTCTTTCTGTGTTTTTGCATAAAAAGAAAGCAGAACCGTTACTGCAATGCCACACGCCTTGCTCTGCGGCAGCTAGATAAGGAGTATGGAAGCAAAGTCCAAAACCCCACTCCACACCCCATCTTCTCCCACAGCTGGAGGCAACACTGATAAACACAGCGACGTGTGGGTTGGATGGCAGGGTCCCGCCTATGCAGAACTGCTGGGGTGCTCCTGAGCCATTCCATGGTGACAAGTATCAGGGCATGGATACCCAACACATTATTCACAGTGGAGGAAAAAAAAGGAGTGGACACACAGTATACAGCCCTCCATCACTGTAACTTTCTTTAATCTGGTGCAGAATTACCCCAGGAAAAACTCAGGGTAAAATTACACTGGTGTAAAGGTGGCACCCTGTAGACAATTCATTGCCAGAAATGGCAGCACTGTGTTTCAAGTAGAGGTGGTCTACCCATGCCAAAAAAGTCATGTTACCAATCTGGCAAGCAGTGTGTGTAGTTGCCATATTGGAATCCAAGATGGCTGCTGTGAATTCATGTTTTGGTTAAGAGTTCAACCCCCACTAGGGTTAGAAATGGATTCCAGTGATGAAACCAATCTCGCATGAACTGAGGAGACCAACAGTAACCTTTTTGTCATGGTAGTCATTGTGGATTCCAAGGTAGCTGCTGGGAATTTACAGTTTTGTTCGTTATTAGATTCCCACAAGGTTTGCAAAATTGCTATATCAACTCTCTTCTGTTTCAGATTACCTCGACATGAAAATCTCTGATGGAGATTGTTGTCAAGAGACTCACCATTATCACCCTAAGTAGACATTACAATGCAGCTGATGGCCTCGATGAGTCCAGTGAAACACAGGAGGTATGACTTGCAAACTACAAGACGCATCCTATGTCTCAAAGCAGGTTTGCAGTCAACAATCAACCAAAGAACACCTGCTGGAACTGCGCGAACAAACGAGGCACTCATTCAACGTAGCAAAGTTGCTGAATTTGATGCTTGGTACGGCCATATTCTTGACAGACTCTCACGCTGTGTTGATCCTGCATTGTAACCTTCCAAAAGCCACAATCGGCCCCGTTCTTGCTATGGTAGCAAGCTGTCCGTCAAGAATGATGGGGGGGTGGGGGCGGGGCACTGGTGATGGAGCCGTGCATCCAGGCCTGTGCCTCACCCCCCGTGTAGCTCCTCATCTGGCCTTGCTCCACCAGAAAATTAATTCCAGTGACAAAACCAACATTATGTGAACCAAAGAAATCAACCATAACATTTCTGTCATGCCAGTAAATCTCCCACGCTAGGTACAAAGTAGAACTTTATTGGTTAGAAAGAGTAGGTTTGGAATAGGGGACAGGGTAAAGCAATATCAGAGAAATCCCATAGAGCAAACAGTGGCATGGTAGCCTTTGAAGATGCATCTGAGTTACTCCAAGCTATATATCCAGTTAGATCTCAGGTATCTTACTCACAAGTATAATCCAGAGGCAGGTGGAGATTTCCTCTGGAGGCAAGCAGTTCATTGTTCGTGAGAAAGAGAGAGTTTCAGATTGTCTAGCTTCCCTGTGAGCTTTCATCATGACTACTGCATTGAGAGACTGTTAAGAAAATCTTGTAAGGTAGAAGATGAAAGGGAAACCCTGCCAACAATATCAAGTGAAGAACACACTAGGACAGGGGTTGTCAACCCCTGGCACGCATGACGAGCGTGACACGCGAAGCCATTTTGCTTGGCACGCTGCCGCCAGCCCCGGCTCCAGGTCGGTGCTGCCCTCATCATGACTACTGCATTGAGAGACTGTTAAGAAAATCTTGTAAGGTAGAAGATGAAAGGGAAACCCTGCCAACAATATCAAGTGAAGAACACACTAGGACAGGGGTTGTCAACCCCTGGCACGCATGACGAGCGTGACACGCGAAGCCATTTTGCTTGGCACGCTGCCGCCAGCCCCGGCTCCAGGTCGGTGCTGCCCGCGACGGAGCCCAGGCTGCTCCCAGCAGGGCTTGCAGCATCCCTGCTGCCTGCTGAGAGCAGCCTGGGATCCCGGCTGGCAGCAGCTCCCCAGAGCTGGGGCCAGCTGCAGCCCGGAGGCTCCAAACAGCTGCGCTGGCCTCCAGCACAGCTCTGCACTGACGCGTGCAGTCGCGCCTCTGAGCTGGTGGTGGGGGAGGGGCCTGAGGCAGCACAGCTTTGGTCTCTCCCCGGCATGGAGGTGATGAGCCCGGCACAGCTGTTTGAAGCCAGCCCATGCTCTGGGCAGCTGCCCAGTCTCCACAGCTCTGGCATCAGCTCCGGGCTGGTGGTGACTACACGGGCACCTCAGGGTGGACAGCGGGGCAGGGCAGCCCACCCTGAGGTGCACATGCAGTCACTGCCAGCATGGAGCTGATGCCGGAGCTGTGCAGCCTGGCACAGCTGTTTGCAGCCTGCCCGATGCTTGCAGCTGTCCAGAGCCCGGGCTGGCTCCAAACAGCTGCGCTGGTCTCATCACCTGCATGCTGGGAGCAGGGGAGGGACCAGGGCTGTGCTGCCTCAGGCCCCTCCCCCACCGCCCGCTCAGAGACGCGCCTGCGTGCACCGGTGCGGAGCTGATGCCAGAGCCTGGAGCCCGGAGCCTGGCGCAGCTGGTTGGAGCCTCCTGGCTGCAGCCGGCCACGGCTCTGGAGACCTGCTGCCAGCCGGGATCTTGGGCTGTTCCCAGCAGGCAGCTGGGATGCTGCAAACCCTGCTGGGAGCAGCCCGGGATCCAGCAGCTACCCAGATCTGGGGTAGCTGCTGGCAGCCACAAAGCCCAGGCTGGGGGACAGGGGCTTTGGGTGGGGGGCAAGGGGAAGCAGGGCTGGGAGGCAGGGGCTTTGGGTGGGGGGCAAGGGGCACAAGCAGGGCATCTTGCCATGTACCCCTTACCCTCATTTTGTTTTTCTGCCATGCCGGCACTCGGGCACCTTCCGAGGTAGGCATTGTGGTGTTTTTCGGTATTCCGGCCAAAAAACGTCGCCTGCCCCTGCACTAGGACATCAAAGCAGATCATCTGTTCCAGTAGTTTTCTGGCAGAATATGCACCTCCTCCAGTGATGTTCTAATAAGAAGAGACGGAGTCAAGTGTTGTTATTTGAATCAGTCAATAAAAACACACGCTGGCAGAGAAGAATGAAGTGCTACATTGCTGAATTGATGTCAAAGATCTAATAAGCTGCTGAGGCATGCTACATTCCTGAATGCAGGTGAGAGGAACAATGGAAGGGACAAGCCTCTCATTCCCATTTACGTGTGGAGATTGTACAAGAATATTCTCTTGAAGAAGAAAAGGTGGACAAAAGAATGCTCTTACATGGCAAACATGCAATCGTTCAGGGATGCTCCTCTCTAGTATTCTCTTGCAATGACAGACATACTGGACATATCTGCACGAGATGCTACTGTGCAGTTGTTACTGTGCATTTATTTAGTACTTATATTAGCAAGTACTAAATAAGTGTGCAGTAACTGGAGTTACTGTGCAGTAGCACTGGTGAATGTCTTTTAGGTGACACTACTGTGCAGTAGCCTAATACTAGTGCCCAGTAGTGTATTAGCACTGTCCATGCTGTGATTCACTGCTACACAGTATTTTTCAGCTACTGCTCAGTCTCATGTACACGTGCCCGCTGGTCCTTCTTCTATGCCACAATCTTGTACCTAAGGTTTGGATGAAGAGAAGCAGCCCAGTAAGATTCATTCCAGTTCATGATATTGTGTCAGAACTGCCTGAGCCAGTCCGTGCATCTCTAACTGGATTCCATAGTGTTACTGGTTGTGATACCACAAGTCAGTTCAGTGGTCATGCTAAGAAAACTGCTTGGAAAGTGTTCATTCAACATCTACATCTATTGGCGGGTCTGGGAAGTAGGTCTGATGTTGATAAGGATTTGTACAGTTGTGCAGAAAAGTTTGTTGTGTTGCTATATCAGCTGTCAACATCTTTTACAACCCTTCTGGATGTTAGGGTAAAATTATTCCACCAAGGAAAAGCTCTGGGTAAACTTTTGCCTACATACAAGTCCCTTGTTCACCATGTACATAGAGTCAGTTATCAAAGTCTTGTTTGGCAAAGTGCACTTGAGCCTAATCCACCATTGCCATCACCTGACCAATGTGGTTGGCATGATGAAAATGATGGTTATGTTCCTATCATAAACATGCTTGAGCCACTACCAACACAATGCCTTTGGATAACAAGTTGCAAGTGCAAGACAGAATGCCTAGGGGGTACGTGTGGGCAGGCGGGGATGGAGTGCCACCACCTCCCAGGAGCAGGGCTGAGGCAGGGCGAGGACAGTGGCACCCCTCTGCAGGATGGGGAAGCTTGCACGCGGCGGCTGCTGTCACCACACACCAGCCTGGTGAGCTTCCTTGCCCTGCAGAGGGGCACCGCTGCTCTCACCCCAGCCCGGTGAGCTTCCCAGCCCCATCCCGGCCCCGCTCCTGGGAGGTGGTGGCATTGTGTCCCTCTTGCCCACACTGTCCCCGCCTCCCTGCTCTGTGTCTGGCTGCGCGCCACCCCCTGCCCCACTTGGCATCCGGCCGCATACTACTCCCCCCACCCCCTGCTCAGAGTCTGGCCGCTGGGGGAACTTAGACTAAAAAAGGTTGAAAACCCCTGAGCTAGGCTAATGAACATTTTTCTAGTACTTCACAATGGAGGGTGCCTATACGCAACTATCGAGGCTGCTCTGACGCACTGGAATTCCAGCGCACCGGAGCAGACTTGATCGAGTCTGCTGCAGCATGGCAACTACAGCAGTCTCCTGCTCTTGTGTATCAGCATCCCTATGCTTAACAATGGTGGTGGGGGTACTAGAGCTAAAGCTCAAGCTTGAATGAGTTTAAGTTCAAGAGCCCTTGCTGCCATTTTTAAGCATGGGAATGCTGATACAGGAGATGTGGCAGAACTTTAGTTAGAGCACCCCCACCCGAGCACATGTAAATGTGCCCAGAGGTACTAGATTTAATGCACATCAACTAAGGTGCCCCCTAGTAGGGGCTGAAATATTAACCAAAACGTGAATTCACGGCAGCTGTCTTGGATTCCAATATGGCAGCTATGTACACTGCTTGCCAGATTGGCAACATGACTTTTTTGGCATGGGCAAACCACCTCTACCTGAAACTATGGATGCTGCTTCTGGCAATGAATTGCCTAGGACAACAAAATCTAGAAAGATTATGGGTCAGTTCATACCCTACTATCGAGGCAAACAGGTCTTTATCTGCTCCCTGTTGTCTAGTGGTGGGGTACTGTAATAGCCATTGTCGTGGCAACTACGCCAGGGTAACTCTTTGTTTATCTGCTCTAGATGTGTGCCTGAGCCCAGAAGGCTCATGGTTCAGGTACACCCTACTTTGACTCCCCAGACTCCTCAGCCTGATTGCTCAGGCACCCATTTACAGATTGGGGCAGCTCTCCACACACCTGAAGAACAGAGCCAGGCCTCTACACAAACCTTCACAACTCTTCCACTGCCCTTGCAACACACCCATCTTTAATCGGACCAATCCATTCATTGCACCATTAGGTGCTGAACAACTGTTGCCACCCTCTCCTGGGCCCGTTCCTTTTACAGCCTGAGACCAAACAAGCTTTACTGGTAAGAGCTCTACTCCGGTAGTGGAGCCCATGCTGGGCAAGCTGAAGGGCCCGCAAATGTTTGGCAAAAATGAATCTCCTGGATCTTCAAAGCTGGGGGATGGACATGAAGTTGACAACAGGGAAACAGAGGGAAAGTCTTGCCATTTATGGGAGATGCCACTCTTCAAGTGCCACCAAAGAAATCAGTTGAAGAGTCCAAGCCAGAGGATGGGCTTACTGAGCTCCCACCAGGCAGTGCTGGGCTAGGACTGGACTGGTCACATGCTGAACACTGGGAACTAGCAGACTTTAATGCAAGATGTGGAAGTTGCAGGGGTTAAGTTGCAGATCCCGGGGATTTGCTCAGCTGCTGCTCCCACTGTTGCTCTGTCTGCAATAGCAGCTGGGGGCTTCTCTGGCTGCCACTTCCTGCCCCATCCCCAGGGAGTGGGACAGTGAGGTGTGCAGCATGGGAAGGTGAGGATGAGTCTAGGGCTGTGTAGTGCAGCAGTGGGGGGGATGTGAGGATTTCCCATATGGGGCCCAGCAGCCCATAGCTTGCCCTGGTACAGCCCCCAGGTCCTGCACTCTTGCTTGCATGGAGCACAGGGGGCATGGCCCCTGGCTGCTTGGAAGTTGAACATCCCTGCTTTAGTGCACCCATGAAAAGCACAGTGCTGTGATCACGGTGGGGAGCTGAGAGCGGGCATGCTCAATGCATGTCATAGGCTCTCAAGCACTGGGAAGGGACAGGAAGTGAGACCCCCACTGGACTGGAGCAAAGCATCTCTGTGAGCTACTGCTTCAGGCCGTCTTCCACTCCCTGGGCACTTTTATGCACCTGAGAACAAGGGCTGTGCAAAGCTTCGATTTGGAGACAACTAGAAAGATCTGGCGATTCGGACACAGACACAGCTTTAAATGTTTTTTCTACATAGCTCTAGGTAGCAGGGGCTCGTGATTACTGCAATTCTGGGGTGCACAGAGCATCCCACAGGAGCGTGGGGGCTCCCCAGCGCCCTCGGCAGCAGACCCAGGCGTGGACCAGAAGCACTTCTGGTTCACTGCCGGGTCCGCCGGGGAGTGTGCTGGGGGCCCCTCCCATGTCCTCCCAGCTTGGTGACTGGTGCCTCCTGGGTCTGGGGGGGTTACCTGGGGTCCCCCCATGACCAGTCCCCAAGCTGGGGAGGCGTGGGGGGACCCCAAGCATGCACAACAGCAGACCCAGAAGTGGACCGGAAATACTTCCGGGTTTGCTGCCGAGCACGTGGAGGTCCCCCCCCAATCCTGTGGGACGCTTCACGTGCCCCAGCATCGCAGCGATCACGAGACGCACTGGTACCTCAAGGTATGTAGAAAAAACATATGTCCGAATCGCTGATTCTCCTAATTGGCATCGAATCTTCAGATACGGATTCGGGTGAATCTGAATTGGGGACAGTGATCCAAATCAACAAATCGAATTGCTGTCCCCGATTCGGGCTGAATCCGAATTGAATAGGGCCCGTTTTGCACACCCTACAGAGAACATCTTATGAAGATGAGGGGGCTGACAAAGGAAGGAGAGAAAGGCTGCAGCTGGGGAAAGAACAGCAGCTGTCGATGTCTGCCAAGGCGTGGGCATACCTTGCTTGCAAGCCCAAGTCAGAGAAGGGAAGAGCTTGGGCAGAGGGGTGGAGCAGAGCTGTGGGACGTGTAGGTGGTGTTTACAGAGCGCCGCATTTTGTGGTTTTGGAGGCTTAAAATGTAGTTCCTTCCCCACATCCCACCTTGGCACAGAGCAGGGCTGAGCACTCTGCGTTTTGCAACAACAGGAACAGTGGAAAATCAGTTTGGTAGGGGCTTCCCCTTATAGTCTCATTAGAACTACTGGGCAAAACAGCTTAAAAATAGTACACCTCTCCCTGCACACCCACCAACTCCTCCCCTAGGAATCAGCCTGCTCTGCTGTGCAGACACCTCTCACATGCAGATATTCACCCTCCACAACTCCCCTCTTCCAAATAAGCAGAAACATTTCTTACCTGAAGAGCAGCAACGAATGATATTGTAGCATGGACGCCCTTTCCGGTGCTGCAGTCTGCTGACAACAACCTTGGCACTCAGCAAACAGCCTATTGGGGCCCTCTTCTGGCTAAATCTAGCTATTCAGATGTTTCCACAGTTTAGCTCTAGTCATGGATTTTTACGTGGTGAGAGACCATCAGATACAGAAAATATCCTAGTCCCCCAGAGGGATCAACACCTCTAATAGGAAGGTGTATGAGAAGGCTGTGTATGGCTTGGAGTGTCAGGCGCTGCCCACGATGTCTCTGGAGACTGGAGGGATGGTCTGAGAATTGATGTGTTCAGGATTTCTGTTCCAAGCACATATGGCTATAGTTACACTTACCATCTTTACTTTATTGTAGGTTTTTCTTCCAAAGAAGTCAGAGATGCCAGCTGAAAAATTTCACATCTGTTGTATCCCCCCTTGAACATGGGGAAACAGTGTCATGGCCATCATAGAGGACATTCCAGTTTTCTGTTACCTTGTCATCTGTCCTCTACTGATATGAAACTCAACACCTTTATGCTACACGGCCCTAGACTCACCTTTACCTCCCCATGCTGCACACCTCACTGTCCCACTCCCTGGGGATAGGGCAGGAAGTGGCAGGCAGAGAAGGCCCCAGCTGCTATTGCAGACAGAGCAACAGTGGGAGCAGCAGCTAAGCAGGTCCCCAGGATCTGCAACTTAACCCCTACAACTTCCACATCTTGCATTAAAGTCTGCTAGTTCCTGGTGTTCAGCATGTGACCAGTCCAGTCCTTTTCTCTTGAAGAGAAAAATAGAGGACATAAAGGCGTCCGGTTTTGTAGCAATAGAGGACAGAGGACAACTGGATTGTCCTCTGTGATGGCCACCCTAGGGATCTTCAGGGATGACCGACACTGAAAAGGTAAGATTTGAATTCAGTGATACCAGCTAGAAAGACTTTCTCCCTGACCTTTCAGAGCTGGTAGGCTTATGAACACAATTCCTACAGCAGTGGTGACAAAGCTCTTTGCTATTTACGTAATAGTTTAATGATGCTAGGGGAGAGAAATGCATGAGAAATGGCAGGCAGGGGTGAATAGTAGTAGTGGTGTAGCCATGATCAGGGACCACTGGAATTCAGGCTCCAGCAGGAGGACAAGCAGGCTCCTGGCAGGCTCACCAGAGCCAATTTCAGGTGTTTTTCAGGGCAGGCTCTCCCACGCCTCTGATTGGCTGAGAGGACCAGTTCTTATGCAGAGAAGGGGAGGTGGAAATTCCCCTCCACTCCCATGTAGCAGCAAAACAAAGTGGGGCCTGGGGAGAACCATGCTGGGTCGGGGGAAGGCCCTGCGGTGGGGGCACCTTATCCCTCATGCCTGGCTGTGAGGGCAGGCACCCAGGATGCCTATTCCTGCAGCCCCTAGGGCAGGGGGTGCTTACCTGTTCCACTCTGGGCAGGGCTTTTAAACTCCCTGCCAAAGCTAGGGATCAAACAACCTGATGGGCTAAGGCCTTAAAGGGGATCAGCATGTACTAGGTTGTCCCTGGAAGCACACGGGGCTTCCACAGTGTTTCTGACACTCTGCTGCCTTTCCTCTTGGGGCTTCAGTTAAGTTTTTATTTTTCCTTTTTTCCCCACCATCCCTCTCCTCTGCTGTTTCAGGCTGTTTCCAGTAGAGGTGCATCGATACATCAGTCCGATATCAGATTGGCACCAATATAAAGAAAATTGATTATATCGGAAATTGGCATTATGTGGCCAATAATTTGGCCAATAAATGCCTGTGCATGTGCACAGCCACAGTGTAGTATGCAGGCAGCAAGGAGCATAGCCCGTTGTCTGCTCATCTCCTGCCTCCCACTGCTCATCTGGGAAGGCATGGGGGCAGGGGGGTGTGCCCTCGGATCTGCACTGGGTGGGCTGCAGCTGTGGGATGGGGTCAGGGGCTGCACTGCATTTGGAGTGGGCGCTGGAGCACTGGGAGGGTACTACAGGGAGGCTACAATGAAATTTAGGATGGCTGCAGCCCCCTCCCCTTAGTTCCCCTCTCCTGCCTCCCACTGCTCATCTGGGAAGGCATGGGGGCAGGGGGGTGTGCCCTCGGATCTGCACTGGGTGGGCTGCAGCTGTGGGATGGGGTCAGGGGCTGCACTGCATTTGGAGTGGGCGCTGGAGCACTGGGAGGGTACTACAGGGAGGCTACAATGAAATTTAGGATGGCTGCAGCCCCCTCCCCTTAGTTCCCCTCCTAGTGCCGCTGGCACCTGTTAGGGTAATTATGTAGATTTTGGATGTTGGGATAATGATATAGAATCTGGGGGTGCTGTGTGTGCAGCTGAGTGAAGGCTTTTTCCTGTTTTTCAGCAAAAAGCTGCTCGTCACAAGGCTGGATGATGTATTAAAAGTAACTAACTTTGCAAATGCTTAGGCAAGCGGTTTTCTAAACAAAGTAGTGTTAGAGCCCATTGTTCAAGAAGAACAAGATGCAGCCCATCAGCTATCATCAGGAGATAAGATGGAAGCCAAACCTTGGAGATGGTGCTGAAATCAGCAAATAACAAGAAAGAACCAGCAAGTGACGGAGCGTACCTGAGTTCATGGTCTTAGGCGCGTGCTCTTAGCAGAGAGGCATGTAAATGAAGGAAATGCATCGGCAATTCCATGTTAATGAAGTGAACAATAAACAAAGGTGGAGCTTGAGATGGGAGGAGAAATGGGTGGAACCGGAGGTAGAACAAGGGTGGAGTAAATGTTAATATGTATGAACCAAGATGTATAAATGTTGGAAAGAACTGTTGTTCAGGGCTGCTCCCCATCGTTTATGGCGAGAGAGCTCACCCAAAGCTGTCTCCATTCTGAATAAAAGCTGTTGCGAGCAATGTGTGCTGGTGTTTGCTCCCTGCTCTGCTCTGGCTAATGAGTATCAGGATCCACGGGCAATTGGATCATTGTCTCCCTAGTCATTGGGCGTTGCATAGAGTCGGGCTCTAACAGCACCCACTGTGAGCACAGTACAGTGGAGTCCCTGGTCCCAGCCTGCAGCTGCAGTTTGCCTGGCCTGCCCTGCAGAGATATGGGGGCAACCCTCCCCCCCAGGATCTTCCTGGATGAGTGGCGGGAGCAGTGGTGGGAGCTGCTGGATGAGCAGATGAGCTGCAGGATGAGCGGCTCCCAGACCAGCAGTGTGGAGCAACAGGAGCTGCCACCCCCCTCCCTGCACCCCCCAGATGAGCCGCAGCTCTGTCCTGCACCCACCCTGCCCTGGCTGGGCAGCACCTACCCCAGCCCCAGGCCCACTCCTCCCTCACTGTGGGATTATATTAGTATTATTATTGTTGTTGTTTGCCCTGCAAACATGGAAACCAAATTAAACTAACTACACATGTAACTGTTTCTGCTTTGCTAAAAAAAAAAGGAGACAGAGAGAGAGAAAGCATGTGCAGCTCCACCAAATGGAATTGATGTTGCCACGTTTCTAGAACTGTTATTACTAGATCTGTGGCATAAAACTTTGCTAACAAAATACACATGTAACCCTTGTACTGGGCACTAGTTCAGACTTAGGGGTTTTACAGAAGTGTCTACTATCTTGGCTTGATGCCCTACATAGAAACCTCAGGCTGCCCCATTCCCCTTTCCCCTGTTCCTCCCTCCTCCTGTGTCCACACTGCTTCTGCCATCCACAGCCTCAGGTCCCTGCCTCCCCTCCATCCCCCCCAACACTTTTGCTCCATGTTGGCACTGCTGTATGAGGCTGGGATGGAGCAGCAGTGCAGCTCCATGCTGCTGCTATGGGCTCCGGCTGGAGCATGCTCCGTGTCCCAGGCTGCAGCAGGGAAGGAGCATGTGGGCATGGAGTTCTGGCAAGGAGGACTGCAGCAGAAGGGAAGAGAGGAGGAGTTG